TTGTGGGAAAATGTACGAAAAAGCAAATTTTTCTAATCGTTACTGAATTTATCGGAACGTTTGAGCCAACAGAAGCACAATTTAACATGTTTGTAGATCTTGCATCCCTTGCTTAGCCTGAATAAAGCAAGAGCGAATATAATTGAAGGCCATTTTTGACAGACATCCAATCATATTTTATTGGACTCTAGTAACTAGTGTGACGTATCTAGGACTTCCTGTGGTGCAGACTGAATTCTATCAGTCAGGTTTGCAATGTGGCCACCATTCTAGGTAGCCATCACGATGCACATTGGTTTGATGATATTATATAGTTGGAGGGAATCGATAGAAAGCCTTGGACCTAGGTTTTGTGCTATTTGGCACTCGTCAGCAAGGTGTATCTGCAATCTTGAAGGAATTCATCTTTCTTTTGAGATATGATCCGATCAACAGGAAAGGGAGTAACATGTAAGTTTAAATTTTCGATGTGGTATTCAAATTCGAAAGGTTTGTGGACATAATAACCTGAATCTCGTACATTTCTCATGCTGTAAAAGAATGGCTATACTATGGAAAATAGCTGCTTAAAATGTTAGTAATGAAATAAACGTGTTCTATAATTATGATAGCTTTCATATAAATGAAAAATGGTAACCATAAGACAAATCAAGTTTTAGTGAAGTAATACGCTGAAGTGTGCTTCGGTGGTTCAGTGGTAGAAAGCTCACCAATCATGAAGGTGGTCCGGGGTTCGATTCTCGGTCGTTGCACCCCTAAACCTTGTCTAGGCGTTATTAAGCCCGGTAAATAGGGAAGACTGCTCTGTGAGGCTAATAGCTCCATCCCAAAAAAGGCACCAATGAAAATGAAACTTTAAAGCTCAAGCTGGAAGCCCCATATTCCTCTTGGAACGCAAAGGAATAAGTTTGATCAATTAATAGTAATTATTTATGCACTGAATTCTAGGTAAACCTGTAATATACACTTACCACTGTAAGCAGCTTTCCATTCGCCAATATAAAACATGTAATCAAGTTCCAACAATGTGCAGATTCTGAAGTAATCCTATCATTATAATGGGATAGTCATAACAGAGGTTTTATTTAAGGTTAATGCAGTAATGTTTTCACAATCAGTAGACTTTACACCATTTTATCCTCGGCAAATCTATTTGATGAAAACTTATCCACACACTTTTGTTATAACTTGACGGAGCAACTGATCAGTTTCCGAAGTCTTGTACGTCATAAACGAAACAGTTTTATCACACTGGCCTGCTCATTTGCCATCATTGGCCATTATCAGTAATACACATCAACTTGACAAACTTCGATCTGAGCAGTCTATTAGTAAAAGTGTCTCCTACATACACTGTGTAGCTCATAGGCTTTAGACATAAATGCATATTTGTTTTCCAAAGTAAATGAGTGATTTGAAGATTCAGTAAGACTCACTCTAGAGGTTTGCAGTATAGAAGACTGAATCACAATATAACTACTTTAACGAAAGGAGATTGAAGGGAATAGGATAATTTCAGTGAGATGAGACCAGACATTCTGTAAACGGAAACAACAACTGGTGACTTGTTTTCTGTATTTCACGTCATGATATTTACACTAAAGTGTACTGTTCTATCCAATCTTTTTCGACTATTATACATTAAATATTTTTTATTTCAGCAACACCTTTATTTTGTTGCTGCTACTCTGTCTGAATGAATATTACATGTTTTCTCTCAAGAGCTTGAACCCTGTGATGTTTCACTTGGTATCTGTTCGTGTATTCTTAACACCACATCAGATCCTACGGAGTTCACTAACTATCTTTATTTCTATGCTACTTATCTAAGTGTTATAATGATTATGGTAATTTTCATTTTGACACCAATTATACAAAACCATTGAATGACAAATTACTAAATCTAACATTAGTTAAAAATCCTAAAACTATAAAATTTGGATTCTAAAATAATAATTCTACAGTATGTTTTCTGCTCACTCTCAGTAAACTGTGTATACTCTCAAGTGATATCCAGGTGAGTAGGAATGAAATCATGTCATGTGTGCATCTAATAATTGATATCTCTTCAAAGATCTTGGAAATTCAATCGAATTTTTGCCTTCACTGTCACTTCTACAGGATGATTAGATGTCATCTCAATAGAAAGCCGTTGATTTTATCAAGAATGAGCAAACAGACTGACTATCGTAGGAACTATTTATCCGCTTTACATTTTCTTTATCATGAATTCCGGTTAGTGGATTTTCAATTTTTGCTTCATTTGCACTGATTTTCAACAGGCCTTTCATTCTTTCACGATGCATTCAGTTTCCTGAAATAATTTACTTGCTCGTCTTGAACAGATAAACATTTTACTTCAGAGGAAAACTTCAAATTAAAAGCAAGTGTTGACCTAAACTTTGATCTCCTGTTTTTCCGTTTTCAAGTATGAAATGTCAACTAGTTGTATTCAAGAAAGCACTTGGAATATTGTTCTTATTGGACCACATGCCATAAAGCGATAAGCATAAATGTATCTGCCTGTAAGTCTGTGTTCTCAAAATGTCACATTTTGAAAAGAGGTTTAGGAGGAGATGATGGAGGAAGTGTGACACGAATAGTAAACCAGTATTAAGGCTTTTGTTCATTGAATCAAAAATTTAAATTGGATAAACTAATTTATTCCTTAAAACAGAGACATATTAACATAAAGTAGACGAAATGGATTGAATTCATCCTGTTAGGTTCATGAAATCATCCAGGCTTCGCCAACGCTGATGATGAATACCTATATCTGCTCATGTCTGTAAGCTGTATTCCGTGGGTTGATTGTGGAAAATCATTTCTAAAGCCCAACTAATGTGTATTCGCTATTTCTGTTGAATTCTAAGAATGTTGAGACAATCATAATACGATTAAGACAAAAATTAAGTTTTGTAGAAGCAAAACTGGCTCATTTCAAAGATTTATGATAATCAATCTTTAATTAGGCCTCAAGATATCAAAAGACAGCAGCTAAGTGGTCAGTTCTCATTGTGTATGATTTCACTTGTTTGCCTGATGTCATTCCGAAGAATTCTAAGTGCCAACTATGATCCCTCTGTTTAATTTGTTTTTAAAACGTTTTACTACTGTAATCTTATTTCAGTACATCATTGCTAAAATTCTAAGAAAAATAAATCATACAACATCTAGAAGTCATAAGTGAAACGAAAAATTCTTTCGACTTCTAGTCATAACCAACCAAAATCACCTCACCTTAATCCATTGACATTGTCAAATCTTCTGTACTAGCAGCTGGCATGTCAATAGAGGACCAACATTTTGGCCAAACGTAGTCAGTCGACTGGAAGTGAACAATTAACGTCAATATAGATCGTATTCCCTTGTAACTACAGAGGTCAAATTTTCTCACGTGTGCAATAATTTGATCTTTCGGTTATAGCTTTTTGCTGTAAAATAATCTGTAAGTCTAATTATCTTTCACAGTAAATGTGAGGGTGGAGTTACTTCTTTTCAGAGCGTGTGGTCCCATTACTATGGGTTTTTCTAATGGCGAACCCATCTAGACCTTAATAGCCCTTTTTTAAATTTTATTCCTTTACGTTCCCAGTGGAACATAGGGCTTCAAGGTAAAGCTTTGAAGTTTCGGTGGCAGTGGTATTTATTTTTACGGGGTGATTTGCTAGCCCCATGCCCAACCTCCCCTTTTTACCAGTCTTATTGGATTAACGAGGTTTGGTAGTGCGTTGGCCGGATCGAACCCCGAACCAACTGTGTGGTTGGCGAGTATTCCACAGTTGTGCCACCAACGCCTTATTAGCCCTTAGCTGACTAGAAAAATACTAATCTTTTCATAGATTTATACTGATAGTACAATAAAGATCATTATTATTTTATATTATCGTACACAACTTAAGGCAAACATTCGGTTTACGTTAATCATATCTAAATTGTATCTGTTTAGTCAGTACTACTAAATTTTTGATACTATTCTAAAAATTTTACTTCATTTTGTCATATTTCTTGAAAGTACTGACGCACAACTATGGTGTTTGCATTTTATAAGTAGATATAAGCAGTATTTCTAAAACGTCTTCGGAAAAACATTGAGAATATGTATATCACTCGAAATGTCAATAAAGCATCGACATAAGAAGAATCCATTAAGAAATTGAAATAAATGATATTAGTAATATTATTTGCAAAATTTGTGATTATTTCCTTAATACGCATTGCATTTGGTTGCAAAAAGCATTACTTCTGATCTTGTGAGTGTTGTGTTCACTTACAGCTTATTTCTTTACAATATGGTGATTACTTTGAGTAAAGTATTCAATTTATGGAAGTGAATCCAGCAGCTACTTATTAGAGGATTGCTACTACTACTACTACTACTACTACTACTACTACTACTACTGATATTGTTATTATTATTATTATTATCATCACTATAATTATTCTTTGTTTTTTATTCATGGATTAGATAAGTCATGTGCACAGTCATAAGTTTTCTTCTTAATGAATAGAAAGTTGTCTAAAGAGCTTAGGGACAAAGTGTTTCTGATTTTCAAAGGCAGAAATTAATATCATCATATCATATTATTTGACATACACACATGACTTTTTTTAAAAACAAAACATGCGGTTTATTTAGAAAGCAGTCTCACATTATTTTGTTGTCATCATGCCATAAAGTACATTTTTATGCCATACATTGGCAATAATTTTCATTCTGCCTACAACTTTCTCCTAGCCAAGTTTGATATGTCTGCAAATAAGAGAGAAAGACATATTGCGTATTTTTTATGCAATAGTATATTCCGGCATTTAATAATAAAAAACCTTGACGTCGGAAATCAATTTAGAGCAATGATTGGCTAATTCCGATATTTTAACCTAGATGTTAGACATTGATTGGTTAACAGATACACGTTGTTTTTTTACTTTCAGAAGCTCAATTCATCTGAATTAATTCTGCTGATTAAGCTTACTATACTGAGATGAATAGCTCCACTATGAACTCCATTTTGTGTCCTGCTGCCACCAAAGGAACTGAACACAAGAATCGCAGCAAAATCTCAATAATTGGATCAGGATCTGTTGGGACATCTATTGCCTTTTCATTGCTAAAAATAGCTGGTGAAATCGCTCTTATTGATAGCGATGAGAAAAAGGTAGAAGGTGAAGTTCTAGATCTTCAGCAAGGTCAGCAGTTCACAAGATATTGCAAGATTATCGGAGGTTCAAATTTTCAGTTAACTACACATTCAGATATTGTTGTTGTCACAGCTACTGCAGATAAAAATGAAGATTCTAAACTGACTGTCATTCAAAAAAATGTCGACCTCTTTAAAGAAATTATTCCCAAGATTGTTCACCATAGTCCTGACTGTATTTTATTCATTGTAACAGATCCAGTTGACACAATGACTCATGTTGCTGCCAAACTGAGTGGTTTGCCAAAACACCGGGTGCTTGGGATTGGAACAGTTTTGGACTCTGCGGTTTTTCGTTTTCTTTTGGGAGAAAAATTCGACATATGTGCTTCAGAAGTTGATGCTTACATAATTGGAGAAAATGGTGAAAACAGTATACCCTTATGGAGAGGTGTGGATGTTGCTGGTGTCAGACTAGCTACAAAGAATCCAAAAATTGGGGATTCTGGTGATCCTGAAGATTACAAATCTGTATATGAGACTGTAATTCAAAGCAAAAAAGAACTTGTTCGTTTGAAAGGCAATAATTCCTGGTCTGTCGGTCTTGCTTGTGTTTCTGTTTGTGATGCTATCATAAATAATCTTTATGCTATTCACCCTGTTTCAGTTTATATGAAAGGTGTCAATGGTGTTCAAGAAGATGCTTTCCTAGGTTTTCCATCCTTGATAAATTCCAAGGGGGTTAGCCACGTAATACCACAACCACTAACCACTGATGAAGACAAAATACTGAAACAGTGTATAAGGGAGCAAGTAAATCTCATGGAACAATTAAATTTATAAATCTATTGCAAAAAACTTTGTAAGTTTGAATTGAATAAAATTGTTTTAGATTATGTTTGAATTTTTACCATATCGCCTTAACTAGGTTTTTACTAGTTTAACGAAATCCATTTAAAGCAAACTGTTGTCGCGCGAGATATGAAATGAGTGCCAACCTTGACTTCTTATTTGTAAATGTAGTTCGTAATCCCTAAATATTTATTCCTAGGTTTCATTTTCTGAAAATTCATTTTATCAGCATGTGGATAAAATATAAGGAGTCATTATTCGTATTGTAAGATGTGTGTAATACTGCGTTATCATTCCGAAATTGTGCAGTAATCCTCTTGTATAGCCATGCCAGTTTCTTTAGTAAAATTCTGAAATCCATGACTAATGAGATCACTTAAAATTAGTTACCATGACAAGCACTACACTATTAACTCGATCTGGATCCAGAGACCTAAAATATGCGTAGTTTGTAGGTGAAATATGTGACTTAAAGAAGAATTTGCTTCATTTATTGTGATACTGATAAGCAAGGGAAATAACTGGAGAAGATTTGTAGCTCAGGTGGATGATATTGAACTATTCGTGCTCTCTGAGCTGGTTGATTTAACTGCAAAGCTTTCGTCGTCCTTCTGGACAACATCTTGAGCGCAGGTTTTAGTATAAAATGAACTTTTTAAATTCTCCAGGAATGATGTAATTGTATCTCCTGGCAACTACTGTCGAGACTAGTTATTTTACGTCTCTATTGATCATTTCTATTGACTTGGAATTGAAACGTTCTCGTCATGTGATTTACTTTTTATTAACTGATGAATTTGATCTATAATAATGTGTTTGTTAGTCGTTATTTCACTTTAGTATTAGGTTTCTAGGAGTTTCCTGGCATTTTTAGTGTTTCCATTATTTAAAATTTCTACAAGATAAGGCAAAAACAGTTTTTCTACAATAAAACTGCATACAAAACATCATTTAGTATACAGCATAATATAACGTATTTTGTTCCCATACATATTGTTGTGTGAATGTGAAGATACTTATTTTGTGTTGATCATACTACTGAACTATATCAAATTACTTGTATATGAGAATGACATCTTAAATTATTCAGTTGTAAACGGATTTCCAGTTTAGGCTGATTGTGAAAGATTTAGTGGAATTTAATTCATTCCACAGTGTTTATTATTTTCGCCTTACAAAAAATTTATAAAGGAATCTAATAGTACGTAACATATGACCATAATGGTTCCAGTGTCCTTTCTTCCACATAGGTTTCCTCATTGATACCACGTAATGCGCTGATTTGATCTGTAATGAAGGCATCCCTTGTGGTTTTGTCCTACACTTTACGAATGTCGAACTTGCATTGTGGCACGTCTAACGGATGATTCTTTGTAATACCGGCTAGGCTTAGATGGTAAACAAATTCAGGAAAGTACAATATCTCACTGATTTTCTCGCCAAAATAATAAGTAAATTAGGTTCCAGTACTAACACCAGAGATTTATCCATATATTTCATAAATATAGAAATTCTTTTACAGGTAAACCACATTTGTGAAGAAATCGATGATACTCAAGAAAATTCGTAGAGAGGTACCTCGAAAGTGATAGGACTAATGCAAATCATTATCAAAAATAGACTAGAGTTGCTAAAATATGGATTTTGAAACAATGGACTAAATTCTTTACTCCAGTGGATGCTTGTTTTCTCCAAGCTCGGTGGTTTAGTTGCGAATTCAGCGCTAAAAATGTTACCTAGTAGGATAATGAAAACTGTGAAATGACGTCACCAACCTGAGAAAACACAAAATGAAGTACACTTTATATCAGATGAAATTCTTCCATCACTTTTAGCACATTGAAGCCAATGCTGCACATAGGGCTTTCCTTACTCCAGTTCTTTTTCCTTTTTCCTAACATGACTTCTTTCTGATAAAAATAACTGTCAAGTATTGGTTTGCAGGAATTTTGTTTGATTGGTTGGGGGTTCATTATGAGCTGACATAGGTTAGAGAATCACTGGAAGCTATTTTGTCCTAGTTTGGGACTCTTCATCAGTGGGCGCCCTCCGGGGTTCGAATCTAGGATCTTCTGGGTACTGGACTAGCGAGCTCGTAGACCATATATATATATATACGAGCAACACACTGATGGATGAGCTTTAACGCATTCAGTTTTATTAGCTAGTGGTTATCTAGAGAACCTTATCATTTGTCACAGTAAGGGTAGACCGTCCCTTGGAAAGACAGCTTCTGTACCAAAGAAAGCTATCTTTATCAGCCTAACATTCAGCGGTGATCAAATTATGCAGTTGAGGGCTGAAAGACTTTGGTCAGCCATCAAGCACACATTCTAAGCCTCATTTCTTCCTCTTTCATCTGTAACATTTTCGATCCCTGTACCTACGATTAAAAGACGAAATTCTGTGGACTCTACCTCAAACTGTATCTGCAAGTTCATCTGCAGTTGCTGTAACAATTATAGTAGGCAGAACCAATAGAATGTTCCAGTGTCTTTGAAAACAATATGTTCCAAAATGGTTATTAAGACATAGAAAATCCTGATGCAATTAATCTGAATAGAAATCCATCATAACCCATCGCAAAGTATTTATTGGTGTCAGGTCACAAAATCAATATTAATGACTGCTTCACAATTGTTTCACACAACTCTAATTCAAGGTTACTGAAGGTGATGGGAGCACTTTGGTAGAAGTTAGAATTCATAGGCCATTGAATTGGGTCTCAGAAACTGAATGGTATACGAGCTTGCCTTGTAACCAGAAGGTCCTGGTTTCGATCCCTAGTGGGTACGTACTGCCGATGATTCCCAAACTAGGATGAAACAGCTGTCCAGGAATCCCTGGTTTCCAATAGTTCTCTAACTGATACCAATCAGGATAAACTCGTAGAAAACAAATCCTATCCTTACAAACCAACTATAGGAAATTAATCACATACATCCCAAACTATGTGTGCAAAAAACAATAGACTTCAACCTTCACATACCATGGACTATTTGACCTATTTGAATATGATTGGTCATTAGTATATACTTTTGTTCAATATAACTGAGTAATTGCCATGCATTTTAATTTATTTTATCATTGTCAACCATGCTAATTGTAAAGTGGTTGTAGAGAAACTACGAAATGATATCATCTCTCGAGATCTGGGTTCTAAATGCCTTATTCAAATTATTATTACCGTAAATATCATAAAAGTGCTGTAATTATTTGTTTTTTCCTTGCTGCGTAGTGTCAAGAGAACGCGAGATGCAAATTGGCATTAAATTCTGAGAATTCCACACTGTATCAAAATTTTTATATGGAATAAAGTCATTATCAATTTCAATATTATAATTTTAAGAATCTTTGATATAAAGACATTGATCAGAATGTAAGAGTGTAATATCAAGAAGCTTTCCATGCGATAAAATGCTCCTGTGTGAAAGTGTACAGCTACTCAGTATTAACTAGACTGATTACCGCCTCCCATGAAGTTCAACTTTGTTCAATAGCTTTTTATTGTACTTACAGAAGTAAGTACAAGGAAACAACAGCGAGACAGTTGACTACTAGAATTGTTAAACACCTATTCAGGAGTCTAGGTCCGACAGATTCTATCACGTTTTATAATGTCAATCTTCACCACCTAGCTAATATCGTATCCTTTTAGATAATTTACAAATGGAGAACTTTTGATGTGGTTGTGCTCTATGATTTACAAATCTTTTGCGTTATTTTTCGCGATATAATTATAATTCGTGATTAATTTGAACTGATAAACTGACTGAAGCTTAAATTATGTATTAAGAAAAAGAGAACATTTCTGATTTATTGCTAATTTTATAAGTTCTGACTCATACATCCTTCGTTTCACTATTGCTCCTTTAATAACTTTATTTGATGTTTATCCTCATTTACCTTCATATTAGCTATTTATGTGATAATACCTCGTATATTATTTTCATCGGTCGCTTATAATTTTGCTTGGACACTCCTGCTTTCCCAAGATCATGCAACCAGTTGAACATCCAGTCGATACTGGTCACCCTATCTCCACAGTCTTTTCTTTTGGAGTAATCTAAAGAGAAAGCAATAACTTGCCCGAATCATTACTTATCTGACTCATCTGTATTGCTGAAGCTTAGGCCGTCGAAACAGAAAAGCCAGATCTCTGTAAACATAAAGTTTGTTCAACCCCTAAAATCTCATTGTCTTAATCCATCTGTGCTAAAGTATGACAATCCCCATTCATACTTTTTTAGCATATATGCATATATATACTATCATACATTATTATTGTTGTATCCTTGGTTTCTGAGTGGAATACAGGGCTTCAGCAACATATCTTCACTTTGTTCTATTTTCTGCCGTCCTCTGTAGCTCGGCCCACTGTTGTCTATAACCTTACATCTCCTCCAACTCGCACGATCTCTTCAGTATCACCCTCGGACGACGTACTTGTCGTTTCCCATTCAGGTCCCCCTCGAGCAATAGCCTGGTGCGAAGTGTTGCTGCATGGCCTCCTCCATTCCAGCTCCATTTTCTTGTACATATTTGTTGAGGAGTCGGCTCTTGGTTAGCTTGTTCCCATAGTTTCTTGTTACTAATTCTTTCTGGCCGGCCATTCGATTTTCAATATGAAACCAGCTATTGATATATGTATGCAACCTGGTGGAAATGCTTTTCGTTATGAGCAAAGGTTTTGATCCATTTAGAAGAATTAACTTGACATTTGTACTGAAAATCCGAATCTTATTATTTATGCTGAGGAGTACAGAAGATTTCCTAACTGATTTCAGGTTGATGACGGCGCATCTTGCCCTCCCAATTCTGGCTGGTTGCCTTTGACATCTTCATACGTTCCGACTGCCTGTAATTGAAACGAAGTGATGGGAGTAACGTCTTTCAAATTTCTCGCATTGATAGTGACTGGTGCTGGTTGTTGTTGTGGTTTTTGTTCGTTGGTTGTCTTCATCAAATCCGTCTTCTCTATGCTCACCTGG